AAAAAAAAAAAAACCCAAAAGCCAACCCCCCCCAATTTTGTTCTGTAGGTTCGATGATATCTTTTAGTACCTGGGTGGGAGAAGAAATAAATTCTCTACCCAAGAATTCAAGAATTAATTTGGTTTGCTATGATCTCTTAAAACTGAGTTTAAACTATTTGTGTATCAATATGCAGAACCTGTTTTGCATGTGCTTAAATACTGAATGCTGCAACGAAAATACCTGCTTTTTAGTTAAAGTGATTTCTAACACTGAAGCTTCACTAATGAAATTCCCTTTTGTTCATCTTTCCACGCTTCAATGCATGGTGTGCAGGGTCAGTTCTGTGCATGACACCCACTGCAAGCGTTGGTAGGTTTTTCTACACAAACTTCTCAACTTTTCCTAATCTGAAAGAGACAGCAAGATAGAATGCATCAGTGAGAACCTGGGTGCCTGAGTGGTGTGACTGTCTATTCACTGTCATCTTTGAGGCTTAAATGGTTGTATCCCTTTTAATTTCTGTACAGTGCAGTGTTTCATGTGACTAATAAGAGAATCTAAGGTGATATTTTCCCTCCCCTGTTTAGTTCTGCTGCGGGGACAAAAAATTGTCAACTAAATATATCTTTACAACCTATTTAAGTCATCCAGCAAAAGGAACTAGCAGTGGAAGCATCCTGTTGGTTAATCTTTTGTATCAGGCATCGGGTGTGCTAGAGTTTGGGTTTTTCATTGTCCTTCCGAGGATATTTTAAGGGAGTGGTTTGATGAAGGCTCTGAGAAGTAATGCATGTAGGGTCAGCCCCTTTGCCACAACGGGCACTGCTTGAAGAGCAGGAGGTGCAGAGCTTCAGTTGGATCAGTTGTGATTCATCCTAAGGTGTCCGTGAGGTACCGGTTGTACACAGAGAAGGGCCTGTAAGGAGATGTCAACGTGTGCCCAGGGATCCAGCGGGGCAGGAGGGCTGGGGACAGTGTCCCAGCCACTGCAGGAAGCCGATGGGCTCGAGCTCAGGCTCTAGTTCTTACGGGGAACCTGGGGGACTCTGGGGACCGTTTGCTYTGGAGCTGCTGGCACAGCAGCATGGTGAGCGCTGAGCCCTTGTCCTCGAGCCGGGACTCCGCAAGGCTACGAGTGTGGCAGAGTGTACCCGMTCCACACGGAGCGAGGGCGGCAGGAGCAGTGGTCCGGGAAAGATGCAGAGCTTTCACAGAGCCRTTGGGGAGCAAAGTGCAGAAATAGCTAAGTGCTCTGCTGTCAAACTCCTCTGTCCCTATGGAGTGATTTTTCCACCCAAGAGTGACCACTATGGCGGCAACAGCAGAGGTAACGGCTTTTGCGGTTGTGGTAACGACAACCCCTCTGTTGAACCCTGTGATCATCTCTGCAGACGGCAGCTCTGAGCGTGGCCGGGCAGCCAGGTCTGGTGAACTCTGGTGCCTCAGGACATCCCCATGTCTCTGGGCCTCGGGCATTTTTCTTTGGGACATGACAGTTGACTCCAGTGATCTCAGGGCGGGGGCACAGCTGGCCAGGTGTGACTGGTGGGGTTCCCAGCTGGTTCCCCCTCCATCCCTTGGACAAGGACCTAGGTGGGGCCATCAGCTCTAAGAACCACCTGCCAGCCCTCTCCTGGCTCCCTCTGGCCAGGAGAAATGGGTGGCTACAGGCAAGGGAGCGATCCTTGGGAGCCTCCCTCCTTGGGGTCTCGCCCTGCTGAGGACACGGTGCCAAGACACCCGTGGTCCCCAGCACGGCCTGCACCAAGGGCCAGTATGGAGAGCGTGTCGTGACTGTGAGTCCTAGGGAGGAGCCCGTTGTRCTGGAAGGGCAGGTCCGTGCACGAGCAGGAGCCCCCAGCGCAGGCCATAGCGTGAGGGMGAGAGGGACGCTGAGGCGGCCGAGGCCTCCAGGGCAGGTCCTGCTCGCAGGGGACACAGCCTGCCTGCTCGGAGCCTGGTGGCCACAGTGGGACCCGCGGCGGGGGGCAGCGGCCCAGCCTGTGGTGCTTCCCCATTCGAACCGCTGCCCGAGCGCCATTTTGGGTGCTCTTCCCACCACAGTGGAGTCGCGACCGAATCAACGCACTTCTTCCTCTTCCRTATCCCCATGGAGGCGCAGCGGGTTGGGGGGACAATTTTGCCGAATCCTGTAGGACTACATGGCAGAAAGGAATCAAACGGAGGGCGCTGGGGCTGTCGGCCGCCCCTTCGTGGCGCCACCCGCCCCGCGCCGAGCACAAGCCCTGTGTAGGGGAAGGCCGAGCGAACCCCTGCGCCGGGGGACGCCGCAGCCGCGGGAGCCGCCTTGCCCGGCCAGATCCCAGCCGTGCCCAGAGCCTCTCCTGCCAAGGTGCTTCCCTGCGGGGCTGGGTGGGCCGGCGCGCTTGCCAAAACCCCGTCCTGTCCCCGCCACAAAGCAAGCACCATGCRCTGGCTGCCTCTAACTCCCCACGGGTGCGAGCTGCCGTGGGCTTCTGCTAGCACGCCCGCCCCGCTCCCCTCTCCCTTCCCCCTTGGAAATCTGGCCCGCGGAGTCTAATACATCATTGTTCTGCTTATAAATGTACTAAGTGTTGAGAATGTTTTGGTTTTTTCCTTAATTACAATTGTAATTGGCTTCTCCCCTTCTCTCTTGTTTATTTTTTTTCCCAACGCTGTCTTGCTTTGCACTGTGATTGCATGCTGCGCCCCGATGTATCCTTCATGACGATGTCACATGGCTTGTTGCTGCGATTCCTGCCACGCCCCCAAAAATCCACCACATGTTGCCATGGTTACATAACCGCTCCACCCTCCCGTATGTCGCTTCCATGGTTCCCTTCCGAAAAAAAGTGCCCATGATGCACGGTGCTACGCCCACCACTGTGTCTGCAGCAACAACTCCTGCCACCAGCGTCCCCTTCGCTGCAACAGCTACCGCCAATCAGGTTTGGCCCTTTCAATGGCTTTCTTTGACGTGTTGAGGTCTCGAGGGCACGGCGGCCCCGCGCGGCGTCCCCCCCGGCCCGGCCCGGCCCGCCAGCTGCCCCGGCCCCCAGGGGTGCGGAGAGGAGGGGGTCCCGGCCGCGCGCTCCCCTCCGCCCAGCCCGCCGGGAGCCCTGTAGGGATGGGCGGTCGGCAGGGTACGGCCGGTGTAGCGGGTGCTCGGGATGGGCGGCCGGCTCCTCCAYAACGGCCCCGATCCTAGCGGGAGGGGGAAAAGCAAAACAAAACCAAAAAAGGCAAAAAGATGGTAAAACGCCCCAAGGATGCTGTCGCGCAAGGCCCCGCAGCACTTCTGCTTTCAGTCGCGAGCACAAATACCACCTTGAGCATCTTTCCCCGTGGTATTTTGGCATGGCCTGCCCTGGCTTGAAAGTGGAAGTGAAAACCCAAAGCAGCTTCCCCACCCCGACCCTGCCATGGGATTGGACTCTGAAAACAAAGCCAAAATTGAGAAAGGAGAGGGGAGCAGGGGTGATACCGTGATGATTCGAGCTTACTGATCCCAGAACCATCACCCATCCCTACAGAAGTTCCTCTGGATGTGCAGTACGTGCTGTTGTGGCACTACCTTCAGTGTAAAGGATTTCCTGCATGTTTGCCTAGCCATAATTCTCTCCAGAACCTCCCTCTGAGGATACCAAGTTGTGATGGCTGCTTCCGCACCAGTCCTGAGCTGTATACGCACAATCTGTCCTGGTGATGCTTCTCGATAATTTGGTGTGCCACATCTTTTTTTTTTTTTCCAATTAGACCAGGAAAATTTCAAACAGAAGGACTTTTCCTTTCCCCCAATACTATTTTTGCATTTTTATCTAGCTCTTCGTCACGCTCTCGAGTTCAGAGGTGATTGCAAAGAAAACCGGGTGTCATTTTCTTCCCAGGGACACTGTTAGCAGTGCTGAAGGGCAGTCATTTCTCAGGTTGGAGAACAAGCTAGCCCAAGGTCATAAGGCTTGCAGTAGAAATGTGGCCTGCGTAAGTCTTGGCAGTGCTTTACTGCTTGCAGGAGGTATCGCTGTTCTCTCTCCRTGCTTCGTTGTTACTTGCAGGTAGACAAGGTCCTGCTCGTATCGGTCACGAGAAGAAAGCTGCGCAGTGTTCCTCTATGATGCCACGAGTCCTGCTCCTTCAGCCACCTAGTTTCAGGGCATTTCTCCATCCTACCTACTGTCTATGGAGTTTAAACTCCCAGGACAACCACCAGCTGCTCCACAGGGCTTTAGTAGCAATGCAACTTCATTGTACTTAACATGGCAAAATAGARACATCTTGGGAATGGATCCGGTTTTCTAAGGCACTGATGTACTTACTAACCTGAAACTGAAGACAGAATGAGCTCATGACAATGTTTTAATGTGTTGTGTTCTCTGTTTTTTTTTTCACTGTAGATATCCCAGTTATCAGTAGATGAACTGAGTAGCAGCATGTTTGTTTCACAGATGTAGAAGTTCCCGATAGAACAGTAAGTTCCTTTTCGCTGTTTCTCTCTTTGGTCAGTTGCTTTCCTCGAGGGCACAGTCTCCTCCAAAGGTGCTCCTTTGGGCAGAGGGACTGACCCTGCAGCCCCCTGGGGCTCCAGTTCCTGCCAAATCAACTGAAATTCAGCAGGTGCCACAGAGGTAGGAACAACCCCATTCCAGCACGTGGTGTTGCCTTGTGCTTGAAATACCTGCTTTAGGATGCTCAGAGCCTCCCTTCCTGCATCTCCCCATGGTCTGACGGTTGTGTTTACGACTGCCCCGGCTCTGGGCAGCTCCAGGTGCCTTCCCGTGCATCTGGGATTTGTGCTCCTAGTGGGAGAGACCGTTTTCCACAGAGATCTGCATATGCTTTTAAGAGCAGGATGAAGGCACAGGCAGCACATCTTTCACCCCACTTGCAGATCCTGGTTTACCTTACATTGCTGAGTTTCTCTGAGGGGGATAATAGAGAAGCTTGTTCTTTTTTATTATTATTATTTTTATTTAAAAAAGAAATTGACACAGTATTACAGTATTCAGTATTACAGACACAGCATTACACAGTATTACAGCCTGAGCAACACTGTCTTTTTTCTGTTGCTTCTATTCGTAAATGTTAGCTAATGTTTGTGAGAGAAAATCCMTTGGGATTTCAATTTGCTGCTGTATTTTAACCCCAAGAGCCTCAGAACAGTTGAGCTTACTCAGCAGGAGGGCACCAGACTTTCCCAGTGCAGACCATTTAATATATACAGATACTCAGTCCGTATCCCCCTTAGGTCATGGATTACAGGCAACCACTGAAATGCTGGAAATAAATTTGGCAGGCAGTTCTCTAATTATGTCTTTAGCAATAGACAGAAGTTACTCATGTTGGTGGTGCCCCTTATTTCTTCTGACCTAAATAAACTGTCCTCTATTTATATGACCTGCCAAATGTATCCCAGTTGGTATAGAGGTGAACGCTGAACTATCCCTGCTAGCAAAAATACTCTGCAGTGTCCTGCATGCTACTCTCCTAAACATCAGAYGTGATGACACCTGACATGTTGAACCATTCCTGCACCACATGCAAACCAGTCTGTTCCACCCAAAAGGAGGGTGATTTCCATTGAAAGAACCTATTTTTGAGGTCTTTGTTTCCAGCATTTATTTAGGGAAACTTCTTATTTTCTTAATTCTTTTTGCTTTTATGCAAGTCAGTAGTTAGTAATCTGAGAGAAGGCAAGGAAATTCCATGGAACCGTATAATTCTTCTAGAAGCAGGGAGCAGAGCAGTCTGTCCAAATAATGCATCGTCAGTCCTATTGAGGAATGAAAGTCCCTTGTCTGAAACAAGTAGGGCAAGTTTGAATTTGATGGGATTTCTTGGGGCTTAGGCTGCTGAGCATGGAGAGCCTCTGGGTTGGGTAGTGAACCTGTTCTTTGGGTGGGAAACCCAACCCACATCCCACCCATGTGCGTGATCCAGCACCCCAGGTCCTCTCCACGCCTCGCARCTGCAGGACATGTCACCTCTGCACACTAGCAGAATGGGGTCTTTTCCTACAGCTTCCACAGCACTTGCAGAACCATCCATGTCCATGCAGGAGCCTTTGTGCTCAGCTCTCAGTCCCAGGTTGTTACCCTTGAGGCTGGTGCCTAAATTACAAGCCAGAAACCTGCCAGGTTTCTGCATCGTTTCATATTACCACCTGAGGGTGGGAAGTTGTGCATGTGCTGAAGGGTTTTGCCAGGTAAGGGCCTTGGTCAGCGTTCTGCAGTGCTGGAGGGCAAATTCCCCAAACAGACGTGAGTGGGAGCTCAGTTATAAAAGCACTTGTAGCTYTGGCAGATGTTCTTTTTCCCCTGTGGCTGGCAAAGTGCTGTGTGACCCWGCCCTTCAGGCGGCTAGAACACTGTCACATTCAAAGGTGGATTTTAAAAGCAATGCCAGGAGAGGTGACTTGCTCCCAGGAGGAGGTCACTTGAGCACAGGATTTCTGTGTCTGTGTCTCATCTCTGGGCCTGAGTTGCCTTTGGCTCTTGACTCTTTCAGCATGGCACATTAAAGTGAATATCTTTGGCTATTGTTGAGGGGTTTGGAAGCTACAGCAGTTAGGGATTCCTTGTCCCTCTTTGTTATCACAAAATCACAGAATGGTTAAGGTTGGAAGAGGGACCTCTAGAGATCATCTAGTCCAACCCCCCTGCTCAAGCAGGGACACCGATTATTCATTCCCCACCTGCCATCTTGTCTCCAAAATGAGACTATTAGTCGCCCACCTCCCTATTTCGCAATGTGTTGCATCCCTGTGTGTTAAAAGCACTGGAAATGGAAAGTCRTAAGTGCAGATTAAAGAGAATGCCAAGTTGCTTATTAGCATTTTCACTCTTAAGTCACAAAAATAAGGGAATAAAATGTTGACTGTCTGCAACCCGCAGGAAACCTCTTGGGCAATACCGTGAAGACAGATCTTAATAGAATGACTTTTATGTAAAGAAAAACTCCTCCTGTTTCTTACTCTTTCTTTTGTTGTTGTTTTTTCTCTCCCCTCCAGCCGACCATATTGAAATTCTGAACAGTAAAATTATGGAGCACCAGGACTTCTTGGTGGGAAGCTGCGCATGGCCTTTCTGTATATACCCCCTCCTCCCTCTATCGTTCTCCACCACCTCTACAGTAAGCCTGTTGCAGCCTACATGTTAACCAAAAACTGATCAATGGGAATGTCAAAAAAAAAAAAGAAAAAAAAAAAGAAAAAAAAAGCACTATAGAAACAATTAACAAACAGCGCTCTGTTATATGAAATATACAAGTAGGAAATTATAATAGACTTTTATAACACATTACTTTAACACACTTAATCATTTTATGACTACCATCCTGATAAGTGCATCTGCACAGCGGACTGTTGGTTTACTGTATACTATCGATGGATAAATGTTTGTCTTGTTTTTAAAGTGTTATCTTACTGTTTTGTTTACATCATAGTCTATTGATTTGTTTTAAAGTGTACATCATTATCAAGTATACTCAATACCATTTTTTCATTATTGTTATGTCTTAAGTTTTCATATACTGTAGGTTTTATGGGATTTTGTTTTTTTACTAAAAATGTTATTGTGGGAAACAGGAATTATGTGCTTGAAAAACACGACATAAGAATGTTCTGCCCTTTTCTAGATTTTGCTGTTCATGTCAGCTGCAGTTGTTGTGTTAAATGCTCCTTTTATCATGTAAAATTTGCCTTCAGGTAGAGTCTCCAAAATTTCGTACAAATGACAGGAAAGGACAGTTGTCATTTTAGTCCAGTTCAGGGTACTTTTTTTAAACGCAGTGAGCTGATTCTGGAAATGTAGACAACAAAAACCACAAGCTGCACTCAGTGAAAAGTAAGGTGACAGGAAGGATTTGCTCAGACTGCGGAAATCATCAGGGATTTCTGCAGTTCTGTTGTACATTGAAGTGCATTCTCAGCTGCAAATGGCGCACAATCTTTCTTGCTATTCTCATGGTGCAGTCCAAAAAAAAAAAACAAAAAATAGATGGATAAATGAGAGAGCTTCATTGGGGCAAAGATGATTTTGCATTGGAGAGGAACAAGCACCAACTGTTAGCTGCAAAACACACAGCCGGATTAGGTCCCTAACCGTGGCTTTGCCCAAGCCGGGTGGTAGTGTGCAGGTGGCCTTGTCTTCCCCAGGCATCCTGCAGCATTTCAGCCTGAGATGTGGCTCGTCTCCACATTTCATCAGCGGGYACCAATAATTTACTCACCATTTTCCTTAAGCTGGTGATATTTCCCAAGACCTCTGGCCCGTTAGCGCAAGCAAAAGGAGTAACAAGCAAAGGCAGCAAATCTAAACTGAAGCGCTCTGCCGTACGAGGATGTTCTTTTTAATGGAGTTCCTGTAGGTCAGTGGATGTGTTGTGGCATCTTCTACTTGATCAAGAGCAATGTTTGTCGCACAACAAGGGCTAGTTCTCAACACCTCCTTTTTTCATGCACGTGAATGAAATGATTTCCAGCCCGTCATTATGCTGCGTTGCTGAACAGCCTGGCTACACAGTATGTTTGATTGGAGGACACACCAAATTCATCCCTATCGTAGCTCTCTGTCATTGGCACTGTGGAAGAGATGGATTTGTTCCTGTAAATCTGTGAACTTCAGAGAAACTGCTTGGCAAAAGAGAATCATTATTAAAACCAAACAGGAGGCACGTTCCTGGTGTCCAGAGGCTCTGCACCCTCAGCTCACCGTGGTCCTGTGGGCTGCAAATTCCGACAACCAGATCATGTTTTCCTTTCAAACTTCCAAGGCTTTGGCTAGAGACTTTCCTTGCCCCCTCTCCTCCAGCGTGAGTGCAGATACATTGCTAGAAATGTATTTATATGGGCCACGAGCGATAGAGGGGCCTGGAGGTGGTGTGCCCCAAACCCAGGCTGTGACCAGCTGCTGTGGAGATTTCTTCATGAGCAAGAACCTTGGACGAGACCAGTTCAGAAAAACCTTGGGCCAGTAGAAATCTTTCCATTCATTTCAKCAGGCTCTGAACCAAATGCTGAGAGAGGGAAAATACCCCCCACAACAGTCACTCATGMGCCTCCCGTTGTGACAAGTCTCTTGCGTCCGTAGCTGTTTGGCAGCCATCAGAAGCAGACAGTGTGGCCTGAAATCGATGGCTCTCATAGATATTGGCTACTGCATCCCTGTTCTTTTAACCACTGAGTTTCTGTTTCCCAAAACCATAACATTGTTAGTGGAAAAAAAAAAAAAAAAAGTGGATTTGAGTACTTCCTGTTTGAAATTATTTGTGTATCAAAATGGGTTTTGCACAACCTGTGCCAGTGCCTCAACAAAGAACAGAGCTGATCTTCTTAAGCCAGAAAGGATGCATTCAAGCTTGTATGGCTTTATGAGTTAAAGGAGGTTGGAACTTTTTTCAGTGCTAAATGGATTTTTGTATATCTTGACACTTYGATGTAACCTCCTATTTTATTTATCTACTTAAACATCTGGCATAGATGTGCATAGAATGTAAACCTAGAATACAACTGTTTTCACGTCACATTTAAAGCACTGAAAAAAAAAGCATTTAAGGATTATTTTTTATTAAAGAGGTCCAATGAGGGATGTTCAGGGTAGTTATATTAGGTGCCACAACAGTTTTTATATTGCTGGCAAATTTAGCGTTAATTTGTAAATGAGTTTAAGGAAAGAAAAGCTTGAAGCACTAAACTTCACCAAATTCAAAACAATCTCGGCAAAAAAATGCCATTTTGAGGTAGCACTATTTAAACTAGTTGTGCAATGACTTGCTCTAATTTTCTTTGTTCAAGAAAGAAAAAAAAAATCAGTCGTCAGACTATAAATCTCCTAAATAGACTATTACAAAGTCACCAAGCTAGTTAGTGACTCTAAACAAATGTCATAAAAGCATGAATATCATCCTTTATTTGACAAGAGATGTATGTAAGTTTGTTTAAATCAATATAATTTTAGTGACATTTTTATAAGCTTCCCACTTTCCATGAACCTATATTTTTTATTTATCCAAAGTTATTTCTCTTTGTCCATTTCTCTCAGCCTTATGCAAACAATATGCAAGAAATGCTGAAACTTGGATAAAACGGGTCATGCAGAGGGAAAATGAAAGCTGAGATTGATCATTTTCACAGAAAAAAAAGAAAAAAAAAAAAGGTTGTTAGTAGTTTCAATAAGAAAATACTACCATTAAGCTGTAACATAAGCAGACAATAAAAGAGGGATTTAAAATAAAATGGATTCACAAAACTATTAAGATTATTTTTGTTAAATACAGTGTTTTTAGTAATTTGGAACCTGATTTCACAATCAACCGTGTTTTTTAGTTGGAGATTTTTGACTCTATATATTTTTTTTTGCATCGTGGTGTTCTAGAAATCGTTACCTCCCCGGCCAGCCCCGGTCCTGGACCCTCTGACGCACTTTGCTCCCTGCCGTAAGCGTCGTCCCGTGCTGCCCTCGGGGCCTTTGTCCCCCGGAGCCGGCGCATCCGCAGGCGCCCGCATCCCGCGGGATGCGCCGGCTCCTGCATCCCCATCCCGGCTCCTCGCCCGCACCCTGGGGCGGCTCCAGGACGCGCTCGCCCACGGATCCGTGGCGAAACCGGAGTCCTCGTTGGGTTTTTTTTTTCTTCTCGGAATCCCTTGTACATTTCACACACATGCAAATTGAAAAAGGTGAAATTTATGAGGAAAATCTAATTTCCCATTCCTGTTGAATGGATTTAGTTTGATATTGACCTGATTTTACCACGTGCCTGTTGAAGGCCTTAGAGTATATACTGTATGTTAAAGACTGTAATAACTTTAAAAAAAAATAGTTGATAGCCTAATCCAAATGTAAATATAGCTACAACACGTTGTTACTAGGCTACAACGCATTAATTCATGTCATATATTCTCATTTCTTTACCATTAGTTTTTAAGGTCTTCATTATTGCTTTTTTGATATCTTTAGTAACTAATGAATTTAATTTTGAAGGAGAGTTAGAGAAAGCTTAAACTTTTTACTACATGTACTCAACCCATTTAGTTATATTCTAAACCAACACTGAAGCATGGTAAGGTATAGAATACAGTCCATAACTAGTTTGTATAGTTTACAGTTTAAGAACAAAATTAACTTTGTATGTAACTCCTACAATGATAGATTCATTGTTAACTAATTATATTAAGTTGTTGTTGCTATGGCAACAAAACTACAACATGGCTACCTTTGTATACATTATTTGTGAAATTTTCACATGTAAATTAAAAGTGATGTGTAACAGTATGAGCTTGTTAAAGGTACAGTTCGATACTGTCAGATAAAGATATGATTGAATATTTTTAAAATCCCAAAGTCCCATGTGAACGCTGAAATTTGTGTCTTTACGTCACTTTTTCAGTCAAGAAGTTTACAACACATGGATTTAGAGTCAGGTTTTATAGCTTGTAGAAATTGTTGTGTGGCAAGGGTTATTCCACAGTATTTTGACTTGGAAAACACGGCGACCTGCATCCACGACGTAGCGACTGCTCTCCCTTCCCTCTCACATCCATTCACATTGTGGGAATTCCGAATCGATCCGTTTCAGCACTGTAGCTCTGCTTGCAATTCATTTTTATTTCTATTTTTTTTTTATTTTCCTGCAATCAAACACACGATTACGTTACGATCAGGGCTAAGTAATTAAACATGTAACTATTTTAATACTAATTTATATTAGCAAAAACTGTACATAAGAAAAAAAAATATTGTGGAATGACCCCTTAACAGTGTTGAAGATACAAATATGCTGCAGTTAAACTGATTCAGTTAGTGTACGAATGTGTGAGACACACCTTTTTTGCACTTATGTACATAGTCCACGAAAGAAATCCTTGGAACTTATTTTGAATATAAAAAGTCTGTAATAATACAGGAAAAGTTTGTAAAAGAGATAGGTATTACTAAGGCTTTGAAAAGGAGGAGTTTTTTGCTATAAAACTTATCTGAAAGCATGATGTTGCTTTGCTGTTGTAAAAGCTTTGTAGTTTGCCATAGCTTATTATACAGCAGACTGATAACAGGTCAGCTCCAACCTGCAGCACGGAGAAATGGGGAACAGTGCTTAATTAATTAGTAAGGTCACTAGCAAAGATTTCGATTGTGGTTTGGGGGTTTTATTGTTATTATTTCTATTGTTTTTCGGTCACCCTGCGTTTCTAAGCACACCCTAGGTCACGTTTTTGGTAAGAAATTTTCTCTGTGGTTCCTCCGAGGCCCACGATGTCACTGGTGGCATAGACACCTTTCCCAACCTCCTCCCTATGTTTCCAGCAGGAAGCGTTTGGTGGAGCAGGTTGGCGTCTACTTGGGCTTAACCAGGCGGGAGAGCAAGCACCAGGCCCGGCTTTCCCTGCCTTGAGGAGCTCTGCCCTCCTCTTTCTCCTCCCGGACCGAACTGGATCCCCAGCTGGCTCCAGAGGACGAGCAGGATGTGGGACGGGCGGACGGAGCAGCCAGCATCACCCCCTATTCCACCTTCCCAAACTTCCGATAGCTCCAGCTGTGGCCGGAGCGTTTCCAGCTGCTGGGAGCGGAGCAGGGAGCCGCAGGGCCTGGTCCCTGTGTGCCCTCCGAGCCGCGCGTAGCTGCACGATGGTCTCCCAGCCGCCTGTGTCCCCAAGGGTATCCCCAGCTCTGTCCCCAAGGGTATCCCCAGCTCTGTCCCCAGGGGTGTCCCCAGCTCTGTCCCCAAGGGTATCCCCAGCTCTGTCCCCAGCGGTCACAGCTGGCAGCAGCTGGAGCCGTGCGAGGACGGCGCTTGTGGAGCATCTTCCCAACAAACCAGGCTAGGGACCGGCTGGGCACCGCGGGGCTCTGCGTCCCCTCGCTTTAACGGCAAGGACTGGGAGTTTCCAGGAGGAAACTGGTCAGGAGGTGCTGAAACTGAAACTTCCAGGAGGTGCTGTGCCACCCACAGCAGAAACGGGCCCGGGTCTCAGCTTCGCTCCCCGCTCTTGCCGTGGGTTCTGCTCCAGGGCTCCGCGGTGCTGGCGGGTTGTGGAGGAGCGAGGGGGTCTGTGCCGACCCCTYTAGCTTCCGTGGGAATTAGTACCTTTCTACAGAGCTTAAACCACCGGATTTGCTTCCAAAAGGCGGCTGGTTTTGCAGCCAGGCAGGTCCCAACCCCTCCTGGTGCGGAGCTAAACCCCCCAGCAGCGCTGGGGCTGCTTTAAATACATTTAATATTAACTAATTAGCTAGTTCTAGCCACTTTGCCGTTAAGGCTGCCATTAACTATGTTCATTTTTCATAATCAAGCTCATTTACATCCATAGGATGACRAGAGGAAAATATTTTGCACTATGTGGAATGAATCGTAGCTGGTGAAACTTCCTTGCGTTGGGGTGGGAATGCGGAGGGGACCTCGCTGCTGAAATCTCTGCTAGTGACCTTGACTGTCGTCTTCTATCATCAAAAATAACTCAGTATGCTTCTCAAAGGAGACACTTAAACATGCAAAAATAACACACCTATTAAATAAAAGTTCTTTTTTTCCAAACACACAACAGAGAGAATTACCTGACACCGAATTACAAGGTTCCAGTTCTTTATTACTGTACACAGATGCTATTTGATAGTGGTGGAAGCCAAATGATTTTGTTGCCATGGCTTTTGTATCCTAGCAGATGAGGGGATGATAAGACCATTCTTAGATTGGATTATGGGATTGCTTTTTTTTTCTTTCCAATTAGCTTTGTTTTAATTATATTTTCTTTGGAAATCATGAAAATGAAACAAAACTCCCTGCACCCATTATTATTTCACCTGACAGTAGATCACTGTTCTTTTATTTTTTTTTTATAAATAGAGAAATGTATTTTAGGCAATCACTGAAATCAAAAAAAAAAAAAAAAAAAGAAAAAAAAAAAGATTGTTCTCCTAAATTGTCAATTATTAACTATATAAAAACATTAATACTGTACTGTGTAAAGTAGATATTTGAAACACATTCTTCTTTTCATAGACATTTCTGGTAAAACAAAGTAAGGGAAACATTAGGTATCAATTTAATCATATAGTTTAGAATATATACACAAGATTACAGTTAGCCCTGTGGAATTGTAAGAAATTAAAATGTCATCAGATCCAGACAGGCTTAGGTTGATGCAATATTTCAGTTCTGTAACATAATAGTTCATTCCCTCAACTGCTACCAACAGGGTGTACGCTTTGAATTTATTTTTCTTTTTGCCACGTTATATTGCTGTAGTGCTTGTACGTGCTTTAGAAATGTGCATAATGCTACTCATTTTAGTATGTTACTTCTATATTGTTATTGTTTATTTTTGGATCTTTTAATAAAGTGTATAAAATTCTTGGTTATGTTTTTTATGGATCCATATCTACACATTAATAGGAGTCTACTTTAAAAACTTTTCGAGTTCCGGTTTATTAGTCCCGATCTTTAAAAGTTCTGATGTAAAAAAAAAATATAATAACTAATGAATTTGATTCAATGTTATATCTAAAGTGTAGAACAACAGAATAAATTTCTTTCCAGAAAACACCTTCAGTATTTTGAATTCTGTAGCCAGCACTTCCTTTTCACCGGAGGCGTTGGCCCTGTCGTATCCTAGTTACTAACGCAAGAAGGAAATTTGTATTTTAGAGGAATAAAAGTGCAACTTTGCAGACGCTGCCATTTGGTTTCTCTTGTGCCCGGCCCCGCTGACCCACGTGCAGTTCCTTTGGGCCGGGTTTTCCCACATTTTTCCTTGCAACGCGGCAGCGCCTTCGGAGAGACATAAAGAATAAAGCAACGAACTCGGAGGCACCGAGTTCCAGCTTTTCCTCTTCCAGCTCCTGTGCCCAAGGTTGTTCCGAGTGTCCCAAGGCACCAAAAYGGCCCTTTGGCAGAGTCCTGGGGGAAAAGGTGGATAAATGGATCACGGTGCTCCAGGCTGCTGAGGAACTCCCAAGGAAAGGCACCCGCTGCCGTGGCTGCTGGAATGCCGCCGATCCGGCTGGATCCCGCCCCGGAYGTGGATGGATCCAGCATGAGGGATGCGGCTCCGTACTGGGTGCCGGCAGCGGGATGGGCATTCGCTGCCAGACGGCTACAGAGCCAGGGCTGCTCCGTGGCGAGGAAGAATCCCCCGGATCGGCTCTTCCCTGTGGATACGAGGAGCGTTAGTATCCAAGGAGCTCCAAGGAAGCTGGAAACGCCAAAGGAAATCGCCCTTCTCCCTCCACTGTGACCCGTCCTGCACCCCAGCGCGGAGCAGAGCCACCGAGCACCCCGTCCCAGCGGTGCCGGAGCCGCTGCCTCCGCTCCTGCCACAGGATCCCTGGCATTCACCGCGGAGGGCCGTTTCCTTGGGAGGGAATGCAGGAAAACGCGTGTCGAGCAGGCACAGCGTGCGCAGAACCCGCGTGTAAATGATGGGGACACGGCAGCCTGGCACAAAGCACAAGGGTTGAGTGCAGAAGGGCYCGAAATGCTGCAGAATTACAAACAAAAAAAAAATGGAGACCTGTAGAATATTAAGAAAATGGAAAGAATTTGGCACGGGATTAAATAGTGGGGAGAAAAGGGAAGCAGGAGGCAGGGGACATGCATGGAGCTCTGCTCCTTGGTCCGGATCTGCTGCTTCCGTCCCCCACAGCCAGAGCTGGGGCTGCTCCCCCGTTCTGGGGACACGCGGTGGCACCGGGGGACATKGTGGGGACACACGGTGGCACCGGGGCGGCAGAGCGGCCGTCACAGCAGCRCTAATGGTCTGGATCAGAGACCGGGAGCGATTCCCGAGCGCCTGTCCCTTGCTGCAAGGAGACGGCAGCTCCAAGTCATGGACCAAAGGAGACTTTGGTGAATGAAAGTCAATGAAATATTGAAGTCTTAAGGTCCTGTTTGGGTTSAACTTGGCATTTTTCTCTCTGTCTGCAGTGGGAATAAAGCAGGGAGTTTCATTCATTGTCAACGGGTTCATTTTGTCACTGGGTTCATTTTGTCRCTGCCTCTTGAGCGCAGGTTTGCGCCGTTCTGTAGCATTTGAGTTGCAGTTGCTGTGGGAACATCATGAAGATGGGAAATGCACTGGAATTTTAAGGAGATCTGGAATCTCACCAAAACCCTTCGTTTCACCAGGGTGTTAAATAACAAGGTGCCCTTCGTTATGGCTCGTATTAGCTCGGACCATGAAGGGCGATAAGGAGAGCGCTCCATGTCCGGGAGCGCGGGCGGAGGAGCAGCCCGTGCAGCACTTTTCCTCCATGCACCATCCTCATCCTCCCTGGGAGACGTATCYGGAGGCAGCGAATCCCAGCGGGAGATGCTGCTCCTGCAGGAGACTAGGACAGGGCGACCAGAACAGTATCCGCAAGGCGGCATATGGCCAGAGTAAGGAATTTCGGGGCTCTGAGTCACCTCCACGYGGGCAGAAGCTGCCAAAGAGAAGCGTCTCCGCAGGGATGCAGCCCGAAACGCCCCGAATGAGGAGCCTCGGCCAGGGGACACGTCCAGCGCCTAAGAACAGCTCACGTTTTGACGGTGTCGTGTGCTCGGAGCCGGGTCCTGCCCCACGGCTCCTACTAAATGCCATGAGAATCAGCAGAATCAGCCCCTTGCAGACGTTTGTGCCCATTACGCACCCAGGGTGAGGGTGAAATCCTGGTGGGCATCAACCCGGTCGCCTTCGCTCAGCGTTTGCTGTCGTCGCCCTGGCAGGAAAAGAGCCTGGCTTATAGCTGTGCCGTGCTGGCATCCAGGAGCCAGGCACTAATTCCAGTGCGGGAAGCGGCTCTGGGCAGGGTCTCTCCGGACACGACAGGGATTTTGGTTATTCCTGCCCTCTCCTGTGCYGTCTGTGCACGAACCCTGCGTCTTTGCAGGGTAATTTCATAAGAACTGGGTTTCTATTGGGTTTCTACTGCTGCAGGCTGGCGCAGCCGTCGGGATGGCCGCACAGACGCAGGGAGAAGGGGACAACGCGCAGGGATCTGCTCCCAGAAAAGCCCAATTGCAGCAAAACTGCTGGGTTTCACTCCGGTTTGTCCCGCCACGGGCTGTGCTCTTCGCCCTGCTCCGTGTCCGTCCTTCCTCCACCCTTGGGAACACAATGGAGCAGCAGTGCCACAAAGGCAGGCGCAGGGCGAGCCTAAGCGACCATGTAATCTTATTATTGCAACCCTCATCCTCCCTTTCCCCCGTTCTCCCTCCTGCCCCGTTTGTCACCATCACTTATTGTCACGGTTAAAATTAGCCTGGAAGCTGCTCGGCAAGCGCCCGGCCTCGGTGCTTCAGGTGCCCTGCAACTGCTCCTGATTTATGAGAGGGCCGGGTTARGAGGCACCTTTTAACGTTTCCAAGCTGATTCACCAGCCACATGAACATCTTCCATCCACGCACGGCTGCCTCGCGCCAAAAACTCACTTGAYAAGGCAATTTCGGAGGCAAAGGAGGGAGGAAAGCGCCGTTACTTATGTGCAATAAAGTCGAGTGACTCAGGCTCGGTGGGACTTAYCTGAGGTTTGTTCTGGCAGCTCAGAGTCCCCTCCGAGTCCTTCCCCAGCACGGACGTAATTCCCTCATGCATTGAAAGGGAAGAAAATAATGTGGCTTTTGGATAAAACCACAGGCAGAGACGCCTTTATGGCACTTCAAGCGCCTCTTAGGAAGACATTGGGCCTCCATGGTCTGATTCTGCTTTGTGCCTGGGATCGAGCCAGAGATATGGGGGGACAGGATGGGGACAACCCCAAATACCACAAATATCCGCGGGATTTCTGCAGAACGTGGCAAGCAGCTGCCTCACACCCCGACGAAATGCAATCGTGCTAGAGGGCTGCATCTCCTAAAGGGAAAGCTTAGTGAAAGCAGTTACGTTCTGAAGAACTGGGCCTTTTGCTTTAAAAAGAAGCGGGTTATCCAATGTTTTAAGTCGCGTCCTGGAATCAACAGGGGGAAATTCAACAACACAGGAATTCAGTGAAGGCCGGGAGAGCGTTTTGCCCGACAGTGCCCATGCAAACGGGCACTGTTTAACGGGAGGTCGTTGCAGCCGCCCCGCGGCTCCCGCCCGGCTCCTCGGTCCCGCACTGACATCTGGCGTCTGCTGAGCGCTCGCCGRGACACGGGGACACGGGAGGCCCGCGCAGCCCTCGCTGCTCCCGGGAGCCTCTTCCCGCTGGCGGCTCCGAGCAAAGTGGAGCAGATCCGGAGCAAAGGCGTTTTTGGTTGAGTGGGAGCCTAAGGGCAACGGTGGTTCTAGAACCTGTGCTGTGATTCAGAGTGATTTAGATAAAGGAAGAACCCAGTTTGGAAACAGCAATGGGAGAGGTTTTATTCCTCCTAACTCTTTTATTTGCAGACAAGTGTAGTTAAGCTCCTCGCTGTTTAGAAGCCCCTGACACCATTTTGTGGCCTCTCACGCTGCCTTGGTTTACTCTTGCTCTGGAACGGGAAGCGCCGCAGTAGTGGTGGGGACTCGGTTCTAATACATTGAACAACAGAACCGGAGCAGCTCCGGAACCAACCATTCCCAGAACCACCCGGGAATCCCAGGGCAGAGCCACCCAGGAGGACATCTCCTTGCCGGGGACATGTCCCCTGCGTGGGGATATGCCCTTTGCTGGGCCCCATGGAGATGTCCCCTCCGTTAGCAGATGTCCCTCAGTGGCTGGATGTCCCCTCACCACGGGGGTCTCCCCTCACCACGGGGGTCTCCCCTCACTGGTCCCATGGACATGTCCCCTCAGTGGCTGGATGTCCCCTCACCATGGGGGTCTCCCCTCACCATGGGGGTCTCCCCTCACTGGTCCCATGGACATGTCCCCTCAGTGGCTGGATGTCCCCTCACCATGGGGGTCTCCCCTCACCACGGGGGTCTCCCCTCACTGGTCCCATGGACATGTCCCCTCAGTGGCTGGATGTCCCCTCACCATGGGGGTCTCCCTTCATCAGGGGGGTCTCCCCT